TGATGTAGCAGAGTGACACCAATTTACATGTTTCTCTTTTGTCAGTGTAGATAGATATAAATATCCTATCTAATAATAGACAAACATAGTAATTGATCATACCTTCACTATGCCTCCCATTGGCTAAACAGGGCTATATGCAAATTAACCGCCAACAAAGATGGTGGCGAATTTGCATACTGTAGGCAGGGTGGGACAGCACGAGTTGCCATTTGGGCCCTGTGTGCAGCCCGGGCCCCCGTGTGCCACCTAAGCCCCGCCCCGAGCTGGGACCTCTGTGTGCGGCCCTGGGTGGGCGGAACCCCTGTCTGCAGCCCCACCCCCAGCCGGGACCCCGTGTGTGGCCCTGGGTGGGCGGCACCCCTGTCTGCAGCCCTGGGCAGAGGGGTTCCCTTGCTGCCAGAAGGATGTCTGACTGCAACCTTAGGCCTGATCCCCCGGGGAGTGGGCCTAAGTCAACAGGTGGACATCCCCCAAGGGGTCCTGAACTGCAAATGGGTGCAGGTCGGGCTGAGGGACACCCCCCACCCCCGAGTGCACAAATTTTTGTGCACTGGGCCTCTAGTCCTAAAATAAAACTAAAATCATTATATAGACTAGCCATTTGCTACTACTGTAAATTAAGCATTACTTGAAATGTGCTGGTCTTCAAACCATACCAGTTTCTTTTAATATAAACAGAAGCAGTATTTCACAGAGTTCTAAATTAGAGCATTCAAATACTGAAGATGAGAACATGTTTGAACTCTTAACTCTGTTGCTATTCACTCATGCAACATCTTTAAAGTATTCAGAGGCCATCAGTAAGAGTCGATCTGATCAACCCAGCAGATCTGATTCTGTATTCTCTATCACTGGACAAAGGCACTGCATCCTAACAGATGTCCTCCCAGACCCCTGCCCCCTCTACTTCTCCCTAAAAAGAACCCTTAGGACAGTGATGGTGAACCTATGACACGCATGTCAGAGGTGACACGCAAACTCATATTTTTGGTTGATTTTTCTTTGTTAAATGGAATTTAAATATATAAAATAAATATCAAAAATATAAATCTTTCTTTTACTATGGTTGCAAATATCAAAAAATTTCTGTATGTGACACAGCACCAGAGTTAAGTTAGGGTTTTTCAAAACGCTGACATGCCGAGCTCAAAAGGTGCGCCATCACTGCCTTAGGAAGTGGTACAAAGACTCCTGGGTTCTGTGAAAAAAGTATGGATATTCCAAGCTGCCTGACTACCTTTGTTCCTTAGAAAACCAAGTGTCTTTGGTAGGCAGAGAGTAACAAAAGGCGGTAATATCTTAAAATGGTCCCCACTGATTCTAACCTCTTCATATTCATGTCCTCACTCTCCAACCCATAACATATGCCTTATTTATTTATTCATTTATTTATTTATTTAGTAAATCCTCACCTGAGGATATTTTTAGAGAGAGTAGAAGGCGGGAGGGAAGGAGGGAGAGAAAAAAAGAGAAACACTGATGTGAGAGAGACACATAGATGGTTGCCTCCCGCACACACCCCGGGGCCAGGGATAGAGTCCACAACCCAGATACCTGCCCTTGACAGGGAATCAAATCATGACCCTTGGTGGTCGGGCCAACCCTCTAACCACTTAACACACTAGTCAGGGCTAATATAATTTTTAAAGGAAGAATACTAATGAGGAAGAAATGTAAAAATGGGCTTTTCACCAAAGCACAATACAAATAATAAAAAGACACTTACTTTTCCTTTTTTTCTTGTTTGTGGGCCTCCCTCGTAATTTGAGCTGCTTTTCTACTATATGGATGGATGACTTTTTTTTCTCGTCCTACACCTTTTCCCTTTAGTGCTTTAGGCTAAAAGGAAGGAAAACATATGATACATATAAGTCAGATATATAACTAATTTATGTCAAAAATTTTTCTTCAGAAATAAATGTTAAAAATAATAACATAACAGAAATACTTTGAGCCTGAAACACGACATCAGGATTCAGAAGATAAGCCAGGTCTTTTAAATAATTCAAACAGTCTGTTTCCATGGTCATAAGAAAAATGATATATTCAGAACTATTCTCCATGATGCAAAAAAATTAAAGAAACAAACAGGGTCAATAAAGCCAGCTCTTCAGCTGTTCCTTCTTCAAAGTAGGTACCGTGAATGCTGAGAGTGAAGGGACTTACAACTGGAAATTTGAGTTACAGTTAAGAAAGTTAAGGGGGCAGAAAGAACATAAGATATTAATAGGAGCTTTACTGGAGAGGATGCACATGGAACAGATTGGGCAGTGAATCAAACAAAATCAAAGTTGGGCACATAGGAAAATAGGAACAGAGGAAATAAGAGGAACCATCGCAAAATTAGCACACCCCCCAAAGGAAACAATTATTTTCCCATTCAAGCCTTACGCCAGGTACCTAGGTAATAATTCATTCGGTTCTCTAAACCTAGACATTTCTAATAGTAAGTCTATTCCTACATAACTCTGTATCCTATTACACCTATTTATTATTTAAATAGACACCCAAAATAACAACGGCTTAACCCAGATAAAGTTCTCTCATGTAAAAAGTAGAAACTAGAGGCTCTGCTTCACAAAACCCTCAGAGATCCAGGCTACTTCCATTTTATTATCTAATAACCTTAGGCTATACCTTCCTATGTATACATATACAGCGTGTCCAAAACAATGTATACACACACTTTGAGTAATGTAAAGGCGGTGTTTATTAAAATATATTTCCTTTTCATTTAACAGCTATCAGCTGTTAAAGTGTATATACATTTTTTTGGGACATCCTACAGTTCAATATGACTTAACACCAAGTCTAAACTGCAGCCAGTGAGAAGGAGAAAAGAAAATCAAAAGGCATACCCCTTTCCTTTAAGAGCAAGATCTGGGAAGTTGCAGTCTTCTGCTTGCATACCACTGACCAAAATTTAATCAGAGTTGTATGAGAGAGAGTAATAAATATAATCTTTATTCTCAGAAAATATAAATTGCTGTAGAAGAGTCTATTAGGAAACAGCTAGCAGTCTCTAACATACCTAATATTCAAAAAGGTCAAATGTTTCTAAAATACGCTCTTCAAAATATTACCATTGCTTTAATTCAGCTTCATGACCTTTCATGACTAAGATGGCCTTTAGGTTCTCACTGCCAGTCCTTTTTACATGGAAGTCTCAAGAGCTTACTTTTCTACACTAACTCACTTTAGTAGCTGACAGTTAGATCCAAGTCCTTAACATGGAAAACAATCTACCCCCAACCTACTTCTCCAGCATTATCTCTCTTCCTTCGGAATATCCACCATCCCATTCTTACTAAACATTCTTACTGTTCTGTAAGTTCTTGAGACACTACCTGTTACCTCTGCCTACAAAATACTTTTCTTTGTCCTTTGATAGGACGCAGCTCACAGTAACTTCCTTTGTAAAACTCTCCGGACAGAATTAATTAAAAGGACCACCAATTCCTCATTCACACATGTACCCATTCCTTCAACAAATATTTACTAAAATATTCCGCAAAGACTTGTTGCTTGCTTCTTGATAACCTGACCAGAAAAGATAGCTCCAGGTCTGCAACACAGAATGGCACTGGAAATTGGTTACAGGTATAAGGGAAGAGTAAAACCATCACAAACAGTATGTGGATCCTTTTGTGTGCCTCTGCTCCTGTGGAGATGAGGAGCAGGGAAGAGAGGAAGGTGTAATAAAAAAAATTTCTGCATGAAGTTTACCTAGCAAATATGTATCAAGTAAAAACTTTCAGAACTCATGGTAGGTTGCCTCTAAGATGGTCCCCAATGAATCCCACCTCCTGATATTCATGCTCATGTCTAATCCTCCTCCTTTGAGCGTAGTCCTAACGACTCACTTTTAGTAAACAACATTTGGCATAAGCAATGAGATTTCAACCCCGAGGTTAGGTTTTGAAAGAAAGGACTTTGACTTACTCTGATGGAAACCAGCTATCATGTCGTGAGCTGTCCTATGGAGAGGCCTATGTGACAACTACCTAGAAGCTTCCAGCCAATAACCAGTGAAGAATTGAGGCCCCGTCAGGTAGTCCAAGAGGCGCTGAATGTACCAAGAACCACGTGAATGAGCTGGGAAGTGGATCCTCCCCAGTTGTTACTTGGGGTTAACCAGGGATGGGGAACATTTTTCTGCCAAGGGCTATTTGGATACTTAAATCATTTGTAGGCCATACAACATTACCAGCTTAAAAATATAGCCTCCTATATTTGGTCAAACATTTAATTAACTCACCCCTAATGCCTTGGCAGGGCCAGACCAAATGATTTCGCAGGCCTTATACGGCCCTTGGGCCAGACATTCTCCACCCCTGTTAAACTAAAGCCTCAGATTGTACCTTGAAGACAACCTTATAAGAAACGTAGAAGCAAGGACATGGTAAACCATGCCTGATCCCTGACCCACAGAAACTGTGAGATAATAAATGCTATTGTATTAAGCCATTAAATTTTGGAATAGCTTGTTACCCAGAGAGATCAACTAATTCAAGACCAAAAACCAAAACAACAGCAAAATAAAGCAAAGATGTGCTCTTTAAAAAGATATCTTTGTTTCATATCCTAACAAATAAAATGAAAGTCACAAAAAGAAAAAAAGATGCTATCTGAAGCTGCTAAAACTTAACAACTACAGTTAGATCCATAAAAATTTTTCTTTAAAGATTTAAAAAATTTATTTAGAACAAAGAATACTTTGATACCCTTAGAGTATGAAAATGTCCTCAGAACTTTAGAAGATCTCAGGTAAAGAACTTACGAGACTTAGTACAAAGAAATGGAACATGTATTCTGACTCAAGTGTGCTTTATGATTCCTTCTAATAACTTATTCATAAAAAGGCTGCCTCAAGGCAGGGTATGTATATTTAAGAAGGCACAGAAATAACACTAAATTTCAAAACATTTTCCTATTTTTCAGTATATCACAAAAAACACACAAAATGCTTCAACAGGGAAACTGAAGTAAAACCCTGTCAATAAAATGTTAATCTATTAAGCAGTCTATTCAATATCTCTTAAGTAAAAAGCAATTAGTCTCTATTGGTCAAGGGTTCTCCAAATGAATTTCGTAGAGCGTCTGATGATTCATGAATAATACAGAACATAAACATATAACAAACTAGGGGAGTTAAAAGTGCACTTTCAATGGAAGATTAACATTTTTATGTTTTAAAAAATACCAAATTTAACTTTCAAAAAGATAGCAAAAATAAAATTTCTTTTCATAGGCATAACTAATAGACTGTTCTGAATAACTGACTACATCATACCTCAAAAAGTTTCTGGCCCAGAAGTATTCTAGTCAGAAAACTTGTACTGAAAGTATCTTTTTCCCACAATCTTTAGTGGAGAAAATTCTAAACTATTCTTTGAATTCAAAATTGCGAGTTACAGAAGAAAACATAGTTTACTCAAAAAACAGCAACAGAGAAGTATTTCCGGGGCAATATGCTTCATATATTCCTATTAAAATAAAAAATAACAAAGAGAAATTGGGGGTAGAAAGGTGGTTGTCAGGGATGAGGTGGGGGTTGGGGGTAGAAATGGATAGGTGGCAATAGATACAAACTTCCAGTTATAAGATGATTATGTTCTGGGATTTAAGGCACAGCATGGTGACTACAGTTAAAAATATTATAGTTTATACTTGAAAGTTACTAAGAAAGTTAATCTTAAAAGTACTCACAAGAGGGAAAAAAAGGTAACATGTGAAGTGGGGGATTGTTACCTAAGCTTACTGTGGCAACAATTTCACAATATATTCAACAAATCACGATGTATATCTTAAACGTATACAATGTTATATGTCAATTATTTCTCAATACAGCAAACAAGCAAATAAAAAAACACCCCAAGGTGTTTAAGCTGATTTGCTGTTATAGCTCACATTTGTAGGTGTGAAACCAACAGCACACAATTCTTGTCATTAAGGAATATTTAGGTAGGCAATTATAGTTAATGCCCACCGTAATCAAGGGAGGGCAATGGCATATGTTTTAATGGTTTATAATCTAGCCAAGTAGATAAGCACATTTAAACTCAAATAATGGGCTTATACAAAAAAAAAAGTATACCTGTGAGTGCCTGCCTAGGAGCCAAGCACACACGAAACTTAAAAGCACTAGAACCTTTTTTTAAATGCAGAATAAAAAGTGCTGCATGGGATGACTTTGAAGAGTCATTTTACTTAAATTTTTATATGAACTTGTGAAGCTCTAGGAAAGATTCACAATAAACAAAAATAAATGAACAAAAAACAAAAGTGGACAACTACAAACTGTACTGTTACTATTGACTACTGTTACAAAAGTTAATTACAACTAACATTTACTAAATACCAGACATCTGGATAACTGGTTTACACAATTCTCTGAGGTAGGCACTATGGTTTCCCCAATTTAATAGGCATGACCACTAAGAGGGGTGTAGTAAGTTCGCCAAGATCATCATTTAGTAAAGATATAGGTGCCAAACTCAGTCCTCTGGGATGCCATAGCCCACATTCTGAGCGGCACTGAAAGAAGTTTGGAGGAACTGATATAAAGGTGTGGATGGAAAACTCCCACTTCCAAGCTGAGTTTAAGTACAAGAGAGGACGTAGCAGAGTCACAGGAGATATATCAGAAAAACGAAAGGGCGGGAAATGTGTCAGAGAACAGACTTATATGCCCCTCTTTTGACTCTTACAAGGCAATACACTCCTGCTATCCAGCCTGACCAAAGTGAAGTTCTCAGACAAGGACGGCAGGCGAATGCCAATCAACCCGAATCACTCACCTCCAATCCCATTATTAATGTTTTAATGTTCCATTCTGAAAAGGGAAGGCTACAAAAGGAAATTGTAAGAGGCTGGAAATAGCACAAGCGTAGCGAGAAACAAAAACTGAATGTACACAAACATGACTTTAATCTAAAGCCAAAAGACTGTAGACATGAAAGACAGACATAGCCCCACAACAAGAACAAAGGATCCGTGGAAGAGGAAAAAGACGTACGTTGCAGCCAGAGTATCCCAAGTTTTTATGATGTTGTTTTTATTAAACACTAGTTGTTATAAAACATGTTCCTATTTAAGAATGATTCTCAAGAACATAAGTGAAAAAAGCAAGAAACAAGAAACAGTTTGGGGATGCAAACCTAAGTGGTAACCATAAAGGCAAGCAAAGGAATTACAAATTCAGAATTTGGATACTGCTGACCTCTGAAGGGCTCCTGATGGTTAATCAAGGGGCACACAGAGGCTTGCAAAAGCTACGTTGTTTTACGTCTTAAACCGGATAATGGATAAACACGCGTTCCTTAAACCGCTCGTCTTTACACCTGAGTGTTATTTTTTTCTTAAGAGACATCAGATGGATGTTACTGTACTTGACCTATAAAATTAGAAAATTATCTTATGATGGAGGCAGGACTTGGGGCGAGAGTGGGGCCCTGGAGGGCGGTGCCTGGAGACCGAGGAGGCGGCGGCGGAGCCCATGCAGCCCGCACGGGCAGGAGGCGCGGCACAGGGCACGGCAGCAGCGTGTTCACGAGTTTGGAGGAAGAGCAATAGCGAGAACACGTGCAGCTGCGGATTTTCCGCGACGGGGAAGAACTTAAGCAGGAGGGAGGCGAGAAGGGGCAGGGCATCTGCGAGGAATTGGGAACTCGGGAGCAGAACTTCAAGGTCCGGACGCCGGGCTGGGACCCTCCTCCCGGCCTCCAATCTCGGGGCACCCCCTGGGACAATCACTTCGCGTGCTCCTCTCCCAGCTTCCCCAGACCACCCCCTGCCTCCCCGATCGGGAGCCATCTCGGGAGCCAAACGGGTTCCAAGGAGCGGGAGGGGCCCACCATGGTGACGTCCTCGCGCCCCGGGGACCTCCGCACTCCACGTCGGGCAGCCTCACCGACGGCGGCGCCTCAGCTCACACAGGGGATCCAGGCAGAACACACGTGGGGTCCGGAGAAGCCGGGGCGGACCCGACCGGAAGGGGCGGGGCGAGTACGTCGCTCTAACACGTCCGGGGGAACCGCGACCTGGTCTTTTATCGCCCGCGTTGGCGTTGAAGCCCTAGCCCGGGGGCAGCCTCCCCGCGTGCTCGGGACGCGCGAGGGCAGGAGCTTTTCCGGAGGGGGAATCCGGCTCCCTGACGCCGGACGCTCAGGCTCGGGGCGCCCCAGGCCAGGACGCGGGTCCTGGGCATCAGCCAGGAGCACAACTCCGGGCCGGACGAGGCTCTTCTCCCGGGGCACCTGCTCAGGACTGTCAAAATGAAACCCCCTGGTCCTCCTCTCCAATCCCGCTCTTCGTCACCCAACAACTACTGTGTGCAGACATCTTTCGAGATGTTTCCCTGAGCTTGAACAAATGCAGAGAGAGGTGTGTGTTTGTGTAGACTGGTTAAGTATTTGTTAATATTAGATACAGATACAATAAGAATACACGCTTCATTTCTAGGGCAACCATTAAAAGAATAGAAACAGGACACAGAAAATAAATGGAATAATTTTTTAAAAAGACATACAAAGCAGGGAAATAAAAAAAAAGAGAAACAGGAAGGTAAGGGAAATAGGAAATAAAAATAGGGTGGTAGATTTAAATCCATATGGTTGTGGACTAAGTGCCCTAATTAAAATATCAACGTATTATATTGGATTTAAAACACACAACTATGTCCTGTTTGTAAAAGATATCTAAAATATAAGGAAACAAAATTTAAAAATCAAAGATGGGACAGGTATGCTAAGCAAATACTAATGAAAAGAATGTTAGTATAGATATATCAATATTAAACAAAGACAAAGTCAAGAAGGATTATGGTAGATAGAAAAGGTTACTTCATAAAGATAAAACGTTTCTATTTTAAATATATGTGTGCTTAATAATATTGCTCCAGATATATAATGGAAAAGAACTGATAAATTTTCAAGAAAGAAAAACCAACTGCCTTGGTTGCAAATTACCTTTTTTAGTAATTAATAGGAAAAAATCTGGTAAAATGTTAAAAATGATTTTGAAAACAACCACAAAACAACTTGACCTAACAGGTCTATTTAGAATACTATTTCCAATGCTTACAAGAATACATTACCCACTCCCAAAGTTATTGTCTTACACAAGAATCTTATCCTCTCTTGCTCCATACTCGGCCTACTAAACTAATTCAAAACATGGAAGGAAAAAAATGAACTCAGCATTTGTATATTTATTTTACAAAGTTTTATTTTAATAAAACTCAACAGTTTAGATAAAATGTAAGTAAACTTAAGTGTTCCTAATCTCTAAAAACAACTCACCCTCACAAAGTGAATATGTGTATATATATATTTTTCCCCACAAATCATTGTAGACCTCTGGAATAATCATTATGTGTGTTGTTTCCTCTACTAAAACCAAGTAGAAATTGAACTTACCAATTCTACAATTTATATTTTCTCTCCAAAGCTATTTTTATTAGTGATGCTGATAGGTTTTATTTCTATTTGCAGTACACACTACCATAAATACTTTTCCATACTATTAGAAAAAAATTAGCAAATAAATTATACAAAGTTAAGATAAAACATTTATTTTCAATAGATTTTAAATCAAGGATCAAAACTGGCACCTTGAGGATATGTTTTGTTATTTTTTTTCCAACACAGTGTTCAGAAATTTTTAAATTTTAAATGCCTTTATATTTTAAATGCCTTTATAAAATGGGTTTATATTCTCTAGTTTGTCAAAGGATCCTTCTCATATAACATCTGACAAATTCATGGTACCTTTCTAGCCCAGTAGGCACTTGAGTTTGCCAATCCCTCCTTCATGTGGATAAACCAAAAAATAATAATAGTTTCTTCCCATTTACAGAAAGCTTTTGACTGTCTTCCAAAATGATCTCTAAAATGAGTAATGGACATTTTTCCAAGACAACTAATCTTGGCATGTTGACCTAAAAATATTTGGCTCGCCTTTTGTCAGTGATAACCTCTTCTTAATAGGGAAAATAGAATGTGGTATCATGTCTTTGATTTATTTGGCTAAGTTGTGTTCACAGCCACATTATGTAATATTACATTATCAGCATACTCTATACTTATATGGTTATTTTCAATTGTATACTTGTAAATATAAACTAAAAAATGAAAATTCTTAAAGGAAATATTAAAAAGTAATACATAACTTTCCAGACTTTTAAAAAATATATCACTTTAAAATACTTTACATGTAATTTACAAAATATTATTTTCTTTATAGTATAAAAATCCAGTCTTATAGAATGACAACAGGGAATTCATATTCACTACCTAGCAGTGGTCGGCAAACTCATTAGTCAACCGAGCCAAATATCAACAGTACAAATTTCTTTTGAGAGCCAAATTTTTTAAACTTAAACTATATAGGTAGGTACATTGTTATTAACTTAATTAGGGTACTCCTAAGGCTTAGGAAGAGCCACACTCAAGGGGCCAAAGAGCCGCATGTGGCTCACAAGCCACAGTTTGCCGACCAGGGACCTAGGGTATTAAATCTCCAAGACCAGATTCTTTTCTTAACAAAACTGACCTTTTGTAATGTTGAAGACTTTCTATTTAATACTTTGGGAAATAGTTGTGCAATGCTTTAAATGGAAGAACTTGGGAACTTGAAAAGAAATGTAAAGCAGATCCTATTTATCTGGTCTTTTTTCATATGAACACTATCTCACAGATCATTTTTAAATTATCATGTTTACGAATTGGATTTATTAGAACTCTTCACAGCCAAAATAATAGTGAGTTACCTTTGTTAATATTAATTGCTTTCCAGTCAGTCCCTAGTTGTTTGCTGAATGTGGGGTTTTTTTTCTCTAATTCCTATCTTTACTCCTAGTCCAACTCTACTTTGTTTTTCTTTTCTTCTCCTTTTACTAAAAGTTTAAGTGAACATTAATTTGCAAAGGGCACTGGGAGTGAGGAATACAAGATGACCTCTCCCAATATTCCTTCGGCAAGTATTAAAATCTTGTTATTGTCATACTATTATGATTTATTTGAATAGGCATCCTTGAAAATAACAAAACTAATTTAAATGGCAAATGACATTTTAAATATTTTTTTCTGAGTTATAATGTAAGGGACATATAAAGAGTAGCAAAACCCCAAGTTAGTTGTTTACAACCTGATTGAACACTGAAATCCTCCGGGGAGCTTTTAATATTACTGCTGCCCAGACACATCACCCAGAAATTCTGATTTAATTGGTTCGGAGTGCATCCCAGACATGAGATTTTTAAAAACTCCCCAGATAGCTCTAAAGTACAACCAGTGTTAGGAATCACTAGTCCATCTACAGATGACTACACATTAGAATCAATTCATGCATTTAAAAAATATAGCTTCCCAACTCTACTTCTAGAAATTCAAATTCAGTTTGTCTGGGGTGGAACCCAGTATTGTTTTTTGTTTGGTTGGTTTTTATTTTTTATTTTTTCCAGTGTCATGATTTTAATGTGAAGTCAATGTTAAGAAGTATTACTCAAGAATCAAGATGTTTAACATCAAAGCATGGGAGATGCTATCCTGTCATTGTGTTTCATTTTTTTGATGATAAGCTAGAACCCTTGCCTGCTAGAAGAACTCAATGGCATAAACTTAGTTTTATAATTAAGTTAATTTTGTTTTAAAAATTATTTATAGTAACAGTAATAGTATTTTAGGGTATACTGGGGGAAATTGCAGTTTTAGATACCCTGCCATTGAGCAGTTTTAGGTTTGATCTTGTAATTTTTGGCCAAATTTGTCATTGTAGTTTTATCTCTAAATTGGAATCTTTGATTGCTCTAAGAAAGCCTATGTTGACATAGTATCTCCATAATTGGCTAGACTGAAAGCGACTTCAGATAATGGCTATCGATACTCTGCTGTAAAGAGTGATGTTTCCAAAACAGAAGCAATGCATATAAAAGAACCACAACCTCACGAATAGTTTCCTATAACATATGGATGTAAGAATAACTCCCTTTCGAATGTATAACATAAGGAAAGGTATCAAAACATTTAGCCATCGTTAATAATGCTGAACATGTAAGTAACAAGGCACATATTCAAAACCCATTCCATTGGGCCTGGAAGGAGATGGTCACGTGCAGAAAAAGCAGCAGAGTCACAGTCCCACGGGGGAAGAATTCGGAGGCAGGAGGTGCAGCCCACTGATCAGTCTCGCGACAAAGTCTGCCACGCACGAACGCACGCACACACACACGCACGCACGTACACACGCACTCTCGCGACAAAGTCTGGCACGCACGCACGCACGCGAGCCCTGGCCAGGCAGTTGCTGACCTCCTGACCTCGAGGAGGCAGGGCAAGGACGTGGGCGTCACGTGACTTAACGTGACTGACTTAACGGCCGAGGAGCTGCGGCCAACGTCCACTCTGCGGGAACCATGGACAGTGCCG